AGAAAAAAGGAACATAGAGGTTGCAAAAATTGTATTCATATTAATTTTTATTTGTCTATTGTTTTCTTTTACTGAGCATTTATATTTTTACTAAGAACATTGTATTGTTTTTTAGTTTGTAGTCAATCCAATAGGTATGTCAAAAGATTTGTATTTCTTAAGCATAGATGTATCCTCTTTCTTTCAAGTCAATTTCTATTTTTTTTAGAATATTGTATCCTTCAACAGATTGTATTATTTCCACTATATATGCTATTTTTTTTCCAGAATCTTGTATTCCCATTTCTTTCACAGTTAATTAGTATTTCTTTAAGAATATTGTATCCTTCCTCAACAGATTGTATTATTTTCATTATGTATGCTATTTTTTTTTCCAAAATCCTATATCTTTTCATAAATCATATTCATATGTAGTTATTAGATTGTATTGAGATACAATCATTAATATTTTTGTAACATAAATAAATAAAAAAATTGACAGTCATCTTATACAATTTTTAGTTTTCACTTTGAAAGTAAAATATCAATTTTAATTTGAATGGTTAAGTGAGCATATATGAAATACAAAAGTTGTTGATATACAATTATGATGAAAACATAATAAAAATGAAAGTTCCAGGTTTGGAGAACACTGATTATATCGAAGTTCCAGTTGGAATTTCTTCCACCAAAGTTGTTTGTCAACGAAATTTAAATCGTTTGTTTCAAATTTTTCTTCCCAATCAGAAAAATCTGCAATTGAATCGAATTCACTTCAACATAGATTGAGTATTATCAATGGAGTGTTAAAAATTGATTTTTGAAATTTTATGAACAAGGGAGATGGGTGTCCTGTCGTCTACTTTTGAAATTGTAACTGATGAGAATTTTAAGTGATATGTTCCTTTTTTAAATTATTCTCTTCCCTAATTTTCTCCTTTCTATTATCAAATAATTGTATTCTTGCAAATCAAACAAATAAAAAGTATATAAATCACATACATAACAAACTAAAATATTGACATTTTTAATAAATATTGAAAGTGTGGCTAAGAGGTCCTATTAAATACCAAAATATTGACATTTTGAAAATTTCCCCTTATTTTTTTTTTGTAAAATCTACGGTCCAAGATTTATGGCCCTATGGAAGCTAAATTTGTGGAAGATGCGATTTTTCATAGTTATTTTTAAAGGAAAAACTACCTAACTAGACATACATTACTACCATATATACTAAACTTACCTTTACTCTCAAACAATTACATATATTACCACTTTAAATATTTTATACCTATATTTTAATTAAAAGATATAATTAGATATACACATTCCTTAAAATTAGGATTGATTAATTATCTTTACATTTAAACACCACAATTAATGGTCCAATTAACATTAGTTTATTTCTCTCTCATTAACATCTCTCCTCCCCCCACCCCTCACATCCTCCATGCCCCCACGAGCAAAAAGACCAGTGCAGTCGATGATTTCAATGGTCGTATGAGCAAAAATCCCCGCAAGAATGGAGAAAAGTTGAGCATAACCATTAAAAAGTATGATATCACAAAGAACTTAAGCAAGTCTCAAATTGGAGAAGACAACACCGAGGATGCCGAAGAAGGATGTGATTTCATAGACACTGAAAGTAACATATTTTCAATTGTATACCGGATACATAAAAACCAGTTTAGAGACACAAATTAGATAGATCAGATACATAGAAAAACTGTTTAGATACATAAAATGGACAGATGAAATACATCCAATCGTTAAGTGCATTTGGACATCCACCGTTATCATGATGACATGATTGAGTGTTCATTCGATTAAATACCCGATCGTGAACAAAAGCAAAAAGTACCAAGTACGAGAGATACACAAAAGAAACTATATCAGATTTGTAGAAGAATAGTCCAGATACATAGAATGAACAAATTAGATACATCTAATCATTAACTATATATCATATACATAGAATAACAATTTAGATTCATAGAATGAACATATTAGATACACATAAATTTGTTTTTAAATTTTTTTTGAAGGTTTTAAACGCATGATTTTCTCCTTAATTTATATGTCTTTCAGTTACATTCCTTACTTAAATACACTTAATTATATGTATCTAATTAATATATATCTAAGATATATGTATCTAAATGCGCCAGATACATGTATTCAAGGTGCGAATTACCTTAGTAATATTGTAAACTCATGGAAAAATAAAGGTAATTAGCTCCTAAACTAGTGCGATTTGTGTTGTTTACTTTTCTTTTAAAAAAAGTAAACCTCTAACTACGGTTAAGACACTTTTAAGTTAAATTTAATTTGAACCCTTAAAATTGATTTTGAAAAGAGAAAAGACATAAAGTGACACATGTAGTTGTCCCAAATTTTCAAAAAGATAGCTTAACTATGTAGACGTCTTATTACCCCTTAAACAATCTTGAGCTGATATTATTAAATCATTTTTTCCCACCTGACATAGAGAATGTATCCACTCTCTTTAGAGAATGTGATCAACCTAAAGTAATGAACATAACTTTATTTTTATAGGTATTTTATTATAAAATATAATTTCTTGTTTTTCTTATTATTTTAAATTTTTTTCTTTGTTATTTTTCCTCTTTCTTTCTTCTTCAAAAACTCATTGTCATCTCCATTAAAACTCCTCACTTTCAATGTCACTATTTTACCACAATTTTGCCCTTCTTTTTTACTACTATTAGTTTAAGTCTTTTCAATTTTAAAACTTTATCTAAATATATTTTTTACATTTCGAACAATTTGATAAACCCATTAGATTTGAAGATGATTAGGAGGTATCATTTAGTCTTTTTGTCTGGATTTCAATCAAGCTCTTTCAATTTTTCGGAAATTTATTGATTCGTTCAAAATTATTATTTCTAATTTTGAAGTTATATGAAAAGAAGATAAATTAATTGCCGATACCTTCAAAATTTTGACTTTTCATAGAAAAATAATTAATTTTGTTATCACTAACTCAACAAAGTTTAGAAAATAATATGATTTTTTTTTTAGAAATCACTGAACGAATGAAATTTAACTAAAGAAGAAAAAAAAGAAAATGTAGAGGGCCGCAACTTGACTTGGGTGGGGAAGGATGGGAGTGAGAGGTGAAGAAGAAGAAAGAAAGAAAATGGAGGGAGGAGGTCAGCTTGAGTTAATACTATTATTTTAAAAGTATTGATATATAATACTCCCTCAGTCCCAATTTATATGACTTACATCCTTTTTAGTTAGTTTAAAAAATAATGACATATTTCTATATTAAGTACACTCTCCGTTCCTCTTTATATGTCATACCTTTCTATATATAGTTGACCCATAATACTTGTCATTTCATAAAATCAATGCATAAATTAGCATATTCTTCCTATTATATATACCCTTGATAGAGTAGTTAATTAGTCTTGAAAATATATACTTTGACTAACCTAGGAAAACTAATAAGTAATTAATATTTATTGGAGTACTTCATACATTGATTAATAACTCTCTCCATTCACTATTCTATGAAATCTGATTTTGAAAATAAACTCAAAAATTTAAACAGTCATCCAAATGCATTTAAAATTTTGAAATCTAGCATATTTATCATTTATTGAAAAGTTGACTTAAGAAAACATTATATAAGGGTAGAAGAGTAAAATTACTTAATTTCTTAATGCAAGTGCAATCTAAAAAAGTGACATATAAAAAAGAACGAAAGGAGTAATAATTTAATTTTAAAATGTCCATTTTACCCTTAATGGATCAGAGTAATTTATAGCCACACAAATATTTATCACTTACTCCCTCCGTCCCTTTTTAGTTGTCCACTTTAGAAATGACACACAGATTAAGGCAACAATGATTAGCACAGTGAAGTTACAATTTTACCCTTATGACAACTTTTCACTTCAAAATTACAATCACTTATTTGAATTCAAGTTAAATAAATTGGAGGGAAACAACATACACTTTTACAATTTTCAAGAAGTGTAAATAAGGGTATAATAGGAAAAAATTTGTTGTCCTTTCTTGATTTGTCAAAATGGACAACTAAATAGGGACAACCAAAAAAGGAAATATGGACAAGTAAATAGGGACGGAGGGAGTATTTTAGACCACAAATTTCAAAAGTCTTCATTTCTTTCTTAAATTCCGTGTCAAGTCAAAGTAACTTATATAAAATGAGATGAAGGGAGTATAGTTAAATATGATAAGAGGCGGAGGTAGAGGGGTAGGGTGGGGATGAGGCGCGTTGAAGGGTGAGCTAGGAGGAGACAATTATTATGAAATGTCACTTATGGAATGTGTTTTCCTTATTTCATTTTTGCATTTTAAAGAACTTATTTAATGCAATTAAATAATAAAAATGTGTTATCTCTAAAACTTAAACATTTAGATAAGATATAGAATATTTTGAGTACAGTAATTAAGTAAACTAGTCAGCTAATACTAGAATTTAGAAGTAAAAGAAACTAGTGTTTTATTTCGTAATTTATTGTGGTGGAAAAATCTCCATTGCCACATTACAGAGATTAGCATGACAATAATGAATATATCGTCATGGTTTTATTTCATACATATTATTTCATACTACTAATGATTTTTAGGATCTCCAATACAAATTAAAGATCCATCATGACTATAGAGATTGCATCCCGCTTTTGCGGTACAACAATTAACACAAACTCCAGTATGGTATGTCGATCCAGTATGTGGGCAAGTCATGTAAGAAACTTTAGGGTCACATTTTTGACTACAACTCTTGGGTTCATCACTCTTTCCTTCACACACAAACTTGCCCTTTTTACTGTAATAGTAGCAACCCTTGTAACCCGTGCAACAACTGGTGCATCCAGTGGGTTTAATTATAGTCGGTCCTTCTGAACGAGGACATTTTGAATAAGCAATTTTATGATCACATTCCCTGGGACAATGTTCATTTGGCTTTCTTGGGTCAGACTCTCCTTCACAAATGAACTTTCCATCTGCACTGTAATAGTGGCAACCCTTGTAGCCTGCACAACATGTGGTACATATGGGGTTTCTTGGACTTCCTTCTGAACGTGGACATATTCCATAGCTAAAATCACCGCATTCTCTAGAACAAGGCTTGGGATCGTGATCATCATGATGGTCATGGTCATGGTCATGATCGTGATCGTGATCATGGTCATGATCATGATCGTGATCGTGATCGTGATCTATCGTCGCACTTACAAGGAGAAACATTAATCCTACAACAAATATAAGGTATATATATTAATTAAGGAAAAAACATATATAACACTACTAGTGTATGTATAAACAAAGAATTTAAAGAGAAAAGTAACTTACCAAGAACAAGTAAGCAAGCAAAGAAAGTAACATCTTTGTGAACAACCATTATGAATAAGTAATTAGTACCTTGTTTTCTTTAAATTTTGGGGTGAGGAGTGTGTATCCTCCTTCACCTTTTTATAGCAAACGAGTGATCAAATAAAACAAAAAATAGGCAAAATCTCTTCATTATTAAACCTAATTAAGTAACATCAATATACAGTCTCCTCAATCGGTAGGATTTACTTTTTTTTGTACTTGCTAGTGTAAGTTTGGCGAGGTAGAATCAAATAGAACAAAAAGAGAGTTAGATCTATTCATTATTGAACAGCTGTTTGTATTTGACTGATCAATTTTACAAAAATACATCTATCAATATTCTGCAGTAATTCGTGCTTGATAAATATTCCAAAAATGATTCGGGCAATTGGCAAAGAAATATTTTTTCAGCTTCTGAAAAATAACATATTGAAGTATTTTAAAGCACTTATTTCCCCTCTTAAAGCAAAGGGCTAATCACCTTAATTATTTAAACTAAACACTTTTAGCATCTTAGCTTTTCCCAGTGCTCTTTGTAGCCATTTGAATTATCAATAAAAAAATTTGTCAACTGCAGATACTAATAATATCAAAAGTAGAAGTACTTAGGACCTTAGGTCTAACTAACTAAATTATTATAACTATTCGAAACTTTAACCATGTGATTATATATTGCATTCCAATTTTCTGATTAGAGAGGTCAGGTTTTACATTGGCATATATGTGACAAATTTCGAAATATATATGAAGGTTAAATATATATCTTAGATTTTTGCATAACTATAACACATAATATTTACGTGCTTTTATTGGAAATAAATCAACTCGTTGAGGTAGTTGAACTGTTTTAATGTATATATATTTTATAAACAACGTATATGAATGTTTATACATATCTAATGCATAGTTATATACTATTATTTATATATAATTATACACTATTTATACAATATCGATACATTGCATATACATATGACCATTTTAATGACATTTTTTGTTGTTGCATGTACAGTTACTTAAGAAACCCAAATATAAAACGAGAGCTCAACATCAAGCAAACAATTATTCGAGATGGGCTTGAGCCTAACTCAACCCAATAAAATTAACTCATGAGGGAGGGGGGGGGGGGGGTGCTGTCCAAGGGAAGATCAAATACCTTTAAACCCATCGATACGGGGATCCAACAAATAACATAGAATTTTTAATTTTTTAAAAATAAAATATGTATATTTGAAAACTATGAAAATGTATTATAAATTACAATAATTAATAATTTAAAAGACAAAAATAAATTTTAATAAATAAAACATGATTGACTCTTGAAATTCCAACTAATTGGGGTGAAAAATATGAGAAATCTCTATAGCTGCCTTGCCAAGACAACGATTTTTTCTAAAAAAAACTTAATAAAAAAGCTGTCCAAGGGAAGACCAAATACCTTTAAACCCATCGATACGGGGATCCAACAAATAACATAGATTTTTTAATTTTTTAAAAATAAAATATGCATATTTGAAAACTATGAAAATGTATTATAAATTACAATAATTAATAATTTAAAAAACAAAAATAAATTTTAATAAATAAAACATGATTGACTCTTGAAATTCCAACTAATTGGGTGAAAAATATGGGAAATCTCTATAGCTGCCTTGCCAAGACAACGATTTTTTCTAAAAAAAACTTAATAAAAAAGCTTCCAAAGCAGCGATTTTCATGAATATTTTTGATTAAAATGCTGCCATAGCAGCGATTTTAGTTGGGGAAAAAAAAATTGGACTTAAATAATCGCTGTTGTGCCAGGGATTTTAGTGAAAAAAAAAAGAAATTTTTTTGGACAAAATCGCTGCTATTTTTTAACGGAGTAACGGCGTCAATATTGTGTCAGAGGGAAATCGCTTCGTCAAGAGCGATTTTACCCTTTTGTTTAAAAAAAATTTGATGTGCCATTTTGGAAAGAATGATCGAATTGGACTCTCATGTCTCAGGATTAGACATATCAAAGGCCAATACATTCATGTTCAAACTAATTCAAGGATGAATTATTCATCCTCTTTGTATCTCAGGGAGGTTTGGACAAATTAAAATCCACCTCTTGTAAATGTCATTTTGTCCTTTTGGATGTGAAATCTACAGGTTGGTTAATTTTAAAAAAAGGAATCTTGAAATTTCAATGGTAAAACATAAATTGAGACCGAGAAAATAGAAAACTTAGATATTCCCAATGCTCTTTGTAGCCATTGAATTTTCAATAACTTTTTTTTTGCGTCAACTGGAGATAATAATTAATTGATAGCTAAATAAAAATAATAATTAATCTGTTAGAATAGATTACTACGAATTATACTAAAATCTTTATGTTATTCATCTGTATAGCTCCAATCCAATAATCAAGGAAAATGGTAGATATGATTACCGATGGATTTGTAAGGCTACATAGGCAGGTAATTTCGTGGATGGTTAATCAATTATTTTTTAAAAAAAATATTATTGCAGTAAACATTTCTAAATGAAAAAAATAGGATACATGTGATAAAATATTAAATAAATGGATCTGAATCTAACCTAACATAACGTGGAATTCAATATTCTTTCACATATTTTGGATTGGACACTTGAAACACGAGCAATATAAGACGGGGATTAATATCGTATAAATAATAAATTGAATTAAATTTGACTTTTATACTATGTTAAAGGAATAGCATAATATATATATATATATATATATCACCATTCATGCTTTTATTTCATACATTAATAAACTACAACATATATATCAATTATCATTGAATAGAAATAACCAACTTCCTTATGCTGTACTGGTTTGAGGCTCACCAGTACAAAGTAAAGATCCATCATGTTCATACAGTTTGCAACCCTCTCCTGCGGTATAACAATTAACACAAACTTCATTAAGTTTGGCCAATCCAGAAGATGGGCAAGTCATATAAGCAACTCTAGGGTCACATTCTTGAGTACAACCCTTGGGTTCAATACTCTCTCCTTCACACACAAACTCCCCCTCTTGACCAAAATAGTAGCAACCCTTGTACCCCGTGCAACACGTGGTACATCCCGTGGGATAAATTATCGTCTTTCCTTCTGAACGGGGACACTTTGAATAGGCAATTTGTGGATCACAATATAAGGGGCAAGTGTTAGGATTTTTGGGATCAGACGTTCCTTCACAAATAAAAGTTCCATTAGCATTATAATAGTTGCAACCTTTATAGCCCGAACAACAATTGGTACAAATTGGATTTTTTGGACTTCCTTCTGAACCTGGGCATATCCCATAGCCAAGATTACCACATTCTTTCGTACAAGCATTAACATGTTCCACCCTGCTTACTAGTATAAACATTCCTACAATTACAAATATAATTAAGTTATGTCGTTAGAACAAGCTCTTTAATTTATAACAATAATCATCTATAACAATATTTCTCTGTAACAATTAGTTTTCTTGTTATTTTATGTTATATTATTCAAGACAAATGATATCGTTATAAAGAAATTTGATAGTACGAAGGAGGAAAGGGACAAGGGAATTAAAGATCTTACCAAGAAAAAGTAGGTGAGCAAGGAAACTAACTTTGTAAAGAGCCATTGTAGATACTTTATCAGTTTATCGTGATTAACTTATTTTTTCTTTGGGTAAAGGTCTGTCCTTCTCCTACCTATTTATAGAACAAAAACAAAAAAGATAGATGTATTCATTATTGTCTAGTTAAAACATTTTTAAAATGTTACATACTGCCCTCTCAATTGATAAATTTTTTGTATTATATTAATTTTGCTTCTACTTGCTAAGTTGCGTACATATATTCACGTGGTGCTATAGAGCTCGACACGACTCTATTTTTTCTGCCAAATTAAGCTTTCATTAAATGATTTAAGTTCCACGTGGAAATATAATTTACGATTATGGTATTTATAGAACAAAATAAAACCGATAACTAATCTGCTATAATAAATAAATAGTACTGATATTGATAGTAAATTTTTTTTACATTCATATGATGATTCAAGATTGATTTCCTTTAATCGAATTTGTCGCATAGAGTTTATGGTTTGTAAAGAGCCATTATAAAACTTTAGTGGAGGTTGAGGATAATAACACATGTAGAAATTAAGTCAATCTAAGAATCTGCAACTTGTTGTAGGAAGACTTTGAACCTTTCAACCGTTATGGAAAGTTTGTACAACATTATTATTGTAATCAAAGTATCGCACCAAATGTCAATGAACATTATTCAAATATATATATCAACGTCGTACGTACATTACGTGTAATAGATTTATATGTATGTACACTTGTTTGGAAATTAGCTGAAAAAATTATTGAACATACACATTCATTTAGATAAATTTATTTGAGTAAGAAGCTTTTTCTTGAGTAAGATGGTGTAATATTCATAGGATATTTCTCTTATTGATTATAGTTCATACTTCTTCTATTATACTTAATAATTAATAATGCCGTGGTCCCAATTCTTTTTTTTTTTAAAAGAGAAAACAACTAAATTATGAAAAATTAACAGAATACCTTAATCATAAACTAAACATTGTATTCCGAGTGTGTGAAAATTTATAAATTCATTCACTTTGAAATAACTTGTAACATAATCTGATGTCTGGCAAGAATTTTTATATTAAATCCTAACATTGTTATGTAAGTAAGGAAGATTATGAAAGATTGCAATTTTCAGATTACTCATTTTATTTTAGAGAAGGAAATAGCGTGTCTGATGCACTAGCCAACACTAGAGTGGTGAAGGAGAAACATGGAGGATTTTTCGCTTGAAGTCTTTTCTTTACCAAAACAAGTTAAAGTTAAATTGAAGAATAATATAATCAAGATGTATGTTCTTCCGAATATCAAAATTATAGTTAAAAAAAGGATACTTTAATTTCTTGACATGATTTATAAGAATCTACGTGTTATTATATATCCATCAGGGGCAAGCTACTCAAAATCTTTTTACGATTATCTTGTTCTAGATAGGGATATCTTATGTAACCTATACATGCATTGGACATTTTTTATATAAGGATGAGATTTTCATTGTCATTATTCCACATAAAGGAAACGGTCATGCTCCACCTCGTGTAATAATGACCATTTTCATTGTCAATTTTTTTTGCTTAAGATATGGACGGGTAAAAGTCTACCTGACTCCAAAGGTAGTTTATTTAAAAAGTAAATGAATTAGGCATCTGATTCGTTGAAAAAGTATAATTAAAGACACATGTCATTCATTAAGGATAAGACCAAAGGAGATCACCACTAGAGAGGAGCCAAGTCCTCAATTATGGATGATCTTTTTCTTTTATTCAAATAATAAGTAGTTACACATAATACAACTTTGATGCCCACATTATAGTGATTAGCATGTCATTGTGTGTGTATGCTTTTATTTCATACATAAATTAAAAACTACAACACATATTATTGATGATGCCTTATATGGTAGATATATTGCCCTGAGTTGACTTCCCAGTACAAATTAAAGATCCATCATATCCATAGAGTTTGCAACCCTCTCCTGCAGTGCAACAATTAACACAAACTTGATTCAACTTGGCTAATCCAGAAGATGGACAAGTCATGTATGCAACTCTAGAGTCACATTCCAGGGTACATGCCTTGGGTTCAATACTCTCTCCTTCACAAACAAACTTGCCGTCTTTATCAAAATAGTAGCAACCTTTGTACCCCGTGCAACATGTGGTACATCCTGTGGGATAAATTAGTGTCTTTCCTCTTGAACGGGAACATTTTGAATAGGCAATATGTGGATCACAATTTCGGGGGCAAGCTTTTGGGTTTTTTGGGTCAGATTGTCCTTCGCAAATGAAAGTCCCATTAGCACTATAATAATTGCAACCTTTATAACCTGCACAACAGTTGGTGCATATGGGATTTTCCGGACTTCCTTCTGAACGTGGGCATATCCCATAGCCAAGATTACCACATTCTAAAGTACAAGCCTTCGCATCAACATGTTCCATCGCGCTTACAAGTACCAATAATCCTACAAACAAATATAACAAGGAGAAAGAGAAATGAAAAAAACATATATACTAGTAACACTTATTGTGTATGCCTCAACAAAGAAACTAAAGAGAAGAAAGTGTAAACAATATAATTTTGATATGCTCCCGTTGTGCATATAATTTTTCAACAAAAAGGAGAAAGGCAAATCTTACCAAGAACAAGTAGGTAAGCAAGGGAACTAACTTCTTTGTGAACAGCCATTATGGATTCTTTTTACCTTGTTTAATTTTCTTTTCTTTTGTTTGGGGTGAGGAGTGTCTATCCTCCTTCACCTATTTATAGCAAACGAGTGATCAAATAAAACATAGTTAACCAAATCGTTTTTTTTTTTCACATTAAAACGTTTTTTTTGACATTATATATATTTAATTTATATATTAATAGCCTCCAATTGCTAAAGAAGAAAAATATGTGCTTGCTGGTGGAAAAAAAATTTAGATTGTCAAATTACTTACACTTGCTTATTCTTCTTTATTAAAAAGCTTAACTTTTCCTAGTTGCTATCTTTTTATTAATTCTTGTTTTTGAAATATTTGTCATCTAGCAACAATTTTCTTCTCCACAATTGCATATATCGCTTTAGGGAAAAATAACAATTTTAGTCCCTGTATATATGAATTGTGTACTAAGCATAATTAATGGAATTATTGTATCTAATCGAAGGACAATAATGGATCTATCTGTAAGTACCAGGGGCGGATCTACGTGGACAGGTGGGGTGCCACGGCACCCAGTGATCTCGGAAAAAACGTCGTTTATATATGTATAAATTCATAATAATTCAATATATATTACTTTTGCCACCCAGTGACTGAAATGCGGAACAGCTCAATTGGCGAAGGAGTTGGTCTGCCACACAGCCAACGCGGGTTCGAACCTCACTGCCAACGCTTATTTTTTTGCTTGCTCCTTTACTTCTTTACTTTTCTTTTTTGTCTTTTTCATTAGTATGTAAAGGGCTTAATTTTTTTTTCTCCATTCATTCTTATTTATTTACTATTCTTTATTAATTCAAATTGACTCATTTTCATGATTAATTTTTTTTTTCTTCTTTTTTGTCTTTTTCATTAGTATGTAAAGGGCTTAATTTTATTTTTCTCCATTCATTCTTATTTATTTACTATTCTTTATTTATTCAAATTGACTCCTTTTCATGATTAATCTTTTTTTTTTACTTTCTCTTGCACTAATTATTAATCTCTTGATATGGGTGTTACATGTTTATTTTTATCAATTAATGAGTACTGAATTATGAACGTCAAATAAATATTATTAAGAATATATTTAAATAGTAGTTTTTAAAAATATGTTTTAAAAATGATGAATATTATTATTAGAGCTTTTTTTAATTTTTTTTTAAAGGTTCTTTCAAATCTTCACCGACTTTCTTGCTAAGTAAGATGACTAGGCTGAAACTACAATTTTTATTCTTTCCCTATTATATATCTCCAACAACACATAAAGTCAATGTAATATGAATATATTATGTTAACACTATTAGATGATTTATACAAGCTCAAATTTTAATGTGAAAAATCTTTTTTTTCTCAAAGTTTCAGCGAATAAGACATCTAATTCCAAAAAGGAAAAAAAGTTGAATTGTTTAGTTATCTCTAATCTCAGAATATCTAAAAGAAAATATTACTAACATGCATATTTGATCAATTTGTTTATAAAAATAAAAAAAATCAATAACCTGAATTGTAACCCAAATTAAAGTAACCGATCCTTTTATCTTACTTGAACGTTGTGGCACCCACTACGTCCAAATCCTAGATCCGCCCCTGGTAAGTACTAATAAAACATGGCAACCATCTAACATGATTAATTGTTACTCCCCCTGTCTAGTTACGTGGCTGAATTTTATTTTTAGTCGTCTATCTAAAATTAAATATTAGTACTCACTTTTTATATTTAAATATATCAATTTTTTTGAGTCTTTTTTATAAATCTAAAGAATATTTTTGGGCCTTTTTTCAGAAAGGAAATGGAAATTTAAACCATTTGTAAGTAAATTTTTGTATGTTTACAAGAAAGAAAACTAACGTACTATCAATCATAGCAATATTTATATTTAATGCTCCATATGTAAGTGAAGTTTTGTCTAAATAAATCGTAGAACAAACTAGTAATTACTAACTAGGTTGAAAGAAAATAAAGATATGAGATAATAGTGGGACTTACAAATATAGTGAAAGTTGCACTAGCCATGTTTTTCATCTATTGATATTCAAAGTTAAATTTTTTTTAAAATCAATGAATTATCAAATTTCTTCGAAGGTATAGTGATAGGAGCAATAATTAAGTAATTAATTATCTCAAATTAACTTTATGTGAGCAAAAGAAAGAGTAACCATCTACTTTTTGTTAATTGCTTCACTAATTATTCCTATTTCCTGTCTTTTTCCTATCTTTAATTATGCAAATCATGTTTTGTGACTATTCTCATGCATTAAATATTTTGTTAATTGATACAGTAAACTTTATTTGTAGCACATATAAATAAATCATGTTATGTGACTATTCTTCTACGTTAAATATTTTATTTGTTGATATGGTAAAATATTATTTTTAGCACACATAAATCATGTTCTGTGACTATGTTCCTACGTGGAACGATAAAGCTAATGACATATTAGTGAGTGGGTTACTCCCTCTAATTCAATATAGACGAATTATTGACACTATTTTATATTGATAAATTACTATTTGGTTAATGACTTTAAATATCTTTTTTATCGGTGTCACTCTTCAACAATTCATTTATATTATATTAAATGGAGTACTAAGCTAGCTTTTGACCATAGATTTAGTTAAAACTAAAAATAATGTATGAGTTTTTGACAATCCTTCGTTTCTAGTATATTTGACTAAAATAATATACAGTATATTTTCATATATATTTGCTTTCAATTTTTTTTGACAATTCTTCGTTTCTAGCATATTGTATTTAAAATTGTACTAAATTTGTGTACGGTGTACTTAAGATTAGGGGTGTATAGTATCGGGTTGGTTCGGATTTTTCAAATATCAAATCAAATTATTTGTGTAAAAATTTTAAATTTATAAACCAAACCAAACTAATAAAATTCGGATTTTTCAACCTCGGGTTGGTTTGGGTTTTTCAAATACCAAACCAAACCATTGTGTCGAATTTTTAAATTCATAAATCAAACCAAACTAATAAACCTCGTATTTTTTCGGTAAAGTTTGCATACAAACATATAATTAACTTGTGCTCAAATATTTCTTTAGTCCAACCATAATGTAATTATCTAAGGTGTTTCTTAAAAAAATAACACAAAATATGAGATGAGTACTGATGAAACAAAAATATTCAATAAAAAATAATAATGAAAGTTTAGTAACGCAACAACAAATTCGACCAAAGTTGGGGTATTTTTCAGACCCTTATCCCTATAAAATAAATATTGCAAAGTCATAATGAAAATGATCATAATTTAAAAGTAATAAATCATGCTAAAATAAGTTTAATAAATATTAGTTACATTACTAAATATTTAAGGAAAATTAAAATTAGATTATGTATTTTAATTGTCTAAACCAATGTAAAACTAAAGAACAAATATTCAATATTATTGTCATTCATAGTGTTGAATTGATTTCCTTTTTGCATTAGTATTAATTTGATTTTGATTTAAGTTTTATTATAATTATCAACACACCTATGAACTATAATCTTTATTGGACCATTCCGAATTCTAAGTTTTAAACTTGAAATAATATATTAAAAGATAAAAATTATTAAATAGTATAAGAAATATTTTAAAATTATATCAAAGTAAATATTTTTATGTATAAAATAAAATTTTAAAATTACATATATAATGTCGGGTTGGTTTGGTCTCAGGTTGTTTTTTTTTTAGTTTAAACCAAACCAACCCAAAAATATTCGGGTTTTTTTTTTCCAATACCAAATCAAGTCAAACCAAACCACTAGTCGGGTTTTTTTTCCGGTTTAACTCGATTTACAATTTGATTCGATTTTCGGTTAGATTTTGTACACCCTGACTTAAGAGTATGGATGATCTTTTTCTCTTATTCAAATAATAAGTAGTTACACATAACACACTACTTTGATGCCCACATTATAGTGATTAGTACGTCATTGTGTGCATGTTTTTATTTCATACATTAATTAAAAACTACAACATAAGTACATATTATTGATGATGCCTTATGCTGTAGATATATAGCTCTGACTTCTGAGGCTCTTCAGTACAAATTAAAGATTCATCATGTCCACAGAGTTTGGAATCCTCTCCTGCGGTGCAACAATTAACACAAATTTGATAAAGTTTGGCCAATCCAGAAAATGGACAAGTCATGTATGCAACTCTAGAGTCACATTCCAGGGTACATGCCTTGGGTTCAATGTATACTCTCTCCTTCACAAACAAACTTGCCGTCTTTACCAAAATAGTAGCAACCCTTGTACCCCGTGCAACATGTGGTGCATCCCGTGGGTTTAATTATAGTCGATCCTTCTGAACTGGGACATTTTGAATAAGCAATATACGGATCACAATTTCAGGGGCAAGCTTTTGGGCTTTTTGGGTCATATTGTCCTTTGCAAATGAAAGTCTCAATAGCGCTATAATAATTGCAACCTTTATAACCTGCACAACAATTGGTGCATATGGGATTTTCCGGACTTCCTTCTGAACGTGGGCATATCCCATAGCCAAGATTACCACATTCTTTAGTACAAACCCTGGCATCAACATGTTCCACCGTGCTTACATGTAACAAAAATCCTACAACAAATATAATAAGGAGAAAGGGAAATGAAAAAACATACTAACACTTATTGTTTATGCCTCAACAAAGAAACTAAAGAGAAGAAAAGAGGAACGGAAATCTTACCAAGGAAACTAACTTGTTTGTGAACAACCATATTATGGATTCTTTTTACCTTGTTTAATTTTCTTTTCATAAAAAACATAGCTACTAAAACGCTTATATATATATATATATATATATATATATATATATATATATATATTATAAAGAAGACAAAGATGTGCTTGTTAGTGTAATTAGTTTGGCTAGTGCCATATTATTCTTTTTCTTCTTTATTAGAAAGCTTAACTTTTCCTAAGTTGCTATGTTTAATTTTTTGTTTTTGAAATATTTGTCATCTAGCAACAATTTTTCTCTGCACAATTGCATATATCGCTTTAGTGGAAAATAACAATTTTAGTCCATGTATTAGGCTTATTATCATTTTGATCCCTGTATATATGAATCGAGTACTAAGCATCATTACTGGAATTATTATATCTCATTAAAGGACAATAATGGATCCATCTATAAGTACTAATAAAACTGTCACGATCCAGACCGTCGTAATTGGCACGCACACTAAACCTCCGGTAGGAGAATCATTACTACAACCCAAACTAACAAATTTTATGAAAACTAAGGTATTTTAAGATACACAAAAGCACGTTTAAATGACCAAAAGAAATACAGAGTTCCCATAAACTCCAAAGGTTTAAACAAACTAGCCAAACTAATGCAGAAATTCAACCCCTTGAGCCTAAAAGTCATTGTACCAAAACTCTACGAACGACAAGTCTATGAACAAGGGGTACAACCCTGAAACTAAACAAACACCTTTAACAAATAGTCTAAGTCCGAAAAGGGTGGACTTAAATAAGAAAGATCCATGGCAGCCTAAAAGAACTAGCTCACCCTTGAATCCGGTCACGCTCAATAGTCACCTAGCTGAAATCTATCAATAGACGCCTGAAGATGCCCTGTACTCAACAAAGAACAAGTAAGTGCAATATCAGTACAAAACCACAATGTACTGGTAGGATCACGCGGCTATCCCATTACGTGAATCACATACAAATAACCACAACATTATAAAACAGACATATACCAAACATATACAATATTAGTCATCTTTTCAGGATCAATGTAGCATCACACGTTCTCAATAATACACATTAGTTATAAATTTAGAGCAACATACAGTCTTCTAATATCAATTATCATTAGATATGAACGTAATCATCACAAGTAGATACAAAACACAATTCAATGGTCCTCTTACGGAACACAATTCAATGGTTCTCTCATGGAACACACACCCAAACTGTTAGCATACCGAAACGTGGTACACGATTCAATATTTATGCCGAAACGTGGCAACCGATCCCATATTTATGTCGAAACGTTGCAATCGATCCCATGTTTATGCTGGAACGTGGCAACCGATCCCATGTTTATGCCGAAATATGGTAATCGATCCCATGTTTATGTCGGAACGTGGCAACCGATCCATTCAACAAACCACAATCACAATGTATATCCTCACAATCATACAACAAGAGGTGATTCATGGCATACAATTGTTCAATTATCCTCATTTACGATTAGGGTGATCAATAATGCAACATTTGCATACATACATGCATTATAATGAGCAATTACAAACATATATCACACCAACATGAAATCACAACCATCACCTACCTCGAATCCAAGCTTGAATCCCCTAAGGCACTTGAATCTTTCTTTCCAAATTATTCTCGCTTGTTCGTGATCTAAAAATATACAATTAACGCATGCAAAGATCAACAATCAAAGGTATAATTATCTGGATTATAACAAACCCAATAGCCCTAGACCAAACCTAAGATTCTAATACCCAATTTAGGGTTTTTTCCACCATTAATTTCAGATCAAAGCCCTTTCCCTACAATAATCACCCATGAATTTACATTCTACGGATCGAAAGACGGATTCGGGGAGTTAAAACCTTACCTTTAGCATAAAAAATGGTGAAAAACTGTCAAGAAAGCACCTGGGGTCGTTCCTTAGCTCTAAAAGTCAAAAAGTGCAGAACAAAACGTTTTTGAGGTTTATTTAAGACCTTAAGTCGCATTGGACCCGCCACATCGGTCTTCACCCAGCTACAGTGGCCCCGCCCCAGCGGCTTATACGGAACCAGTGAACTATTTTAATAATTCCAAGACCTCATTTCACAACACACCTTCGACCAACGACACTCAGAAACTACCCGTTCACGCTAAGATCATTTTTGGGAGTTCTACTCGCTCGAATTTAATTTCGTAAAGTTGTACGGGTCCCTTAACTTCTTAGCTATCTATTCATGTAATCAAAATTATAATTAAATCACCCAGTTGTTACCAGATTTCCCTAGACTCACATGACTCCGATTTCGTTCAAATCTGGACTAGGCTAGGAAATCCCAAGTTACTGCCAAAAAGTTTTCTTGCACCAATTCTTTCCCCATTGGCTTTTCCCTAACGACAGAATCAGGTCGTTACAATAGATACCAATTTGCCCATCACTCGTCCCCGAGTGATCAACTAGGAAAAACTGGCCAAAGTAAGGTAGAGTAGTACCTTAATCACTGAACAATTGGGAATACTTGTCTCGCATGTCCTTAGCTTCTGGACATCACGATCAAGAATTTCAATCGGTTCTTCCTCAAATAGATGGTTTTGTTTAACAAAAATGAGTCTCACTTTATGATATAATCACCGTCCCCAAACCAACCAATTGTATACCTACATTTCCTTCCATACAATGCCTCAACGAAGTCATCACAATACTCGAGTAATGATTATTATTGTATGTACACTTAACTAACAACAAAGCTATTCTCAATAACCACCAAAGTTGATCATACACATGTCTGCAACATGTTATCAAGGACTTCCACACAAACACCAGGACGAATCATTTCTCACATAACCATGATAAAATTCTAAATCAATACTCGCTACAATTAGAGGTGGACCTGAACCAACCAACACACACTCATAATACTCAAACAATCATAGTTCTTATATCACAACATAAATTTCCATGAGTTTAAATTATAAAAAATTGATCTATTGACATCAGATACTCATCGAGGGACATGTCCAAGCATACAAATCCTCCAACAACACTATCGAAATGTTAGATTTAGTAATTGTAGATTACCTCTTAAGAACAGTAGAATTGGACTGCATGATCCCCACATTTAACCTTACATAATCGATATATGACCTCGACGACTAGATGAATATTAAGATTGTCGAACAACTATAAATACACATGGTAGCACTTCTATACACTCTCATAAGCAAGGTGGTACATGCAAAAACCATTGAAATACTTTAATAACTCCAAGACAACACCACATAAGTCATCTAAAATAACCATGTCTTCCCAAATCATCACATTCAACCAAGAGAACATCGCAGGATCGGTACACCTGATCCACCACTAGAGAACCACCCCTAAAATGAAAACACGTGTGAGCATAGCTAGTGCATCACCCTCATAACCATGTACAAAATGAAATAGATGGTCACATAAGAATTTATCGAATCACACGAAAGATTTTCCTCTGAAGAGTCGATACCAGCCATTTCCATTCACTTGACCACATACTCTTCACATCCTTTCAATGAAGCCCACACTCTCAATACTAACAACCATCATAACCATCCGACAATTTACCTTACTCTAAACCAACATTTTTTAAATGAAAACCTTTCTTAGATACTTTAACAATCAACAGTAATCAACTTTACAACTCAACCTAGGTGTAAGTCCTTCAAATGCTCAATACCTGATACAATTGATCATTCCTCACCTTGAAAATTCATACCTTGACAAAATATATCACCACGAATGTAGACTTTCAATGGAAAATCTGAAATTGTAAATTCAATTGTATAAGAACATCCCCTTATCTATCAACATAACCTTATACCTCGAAGATTTTCATGGATCTTCGCTTATCATGGATTGCATCTCCATCGATATCACAATATCTTTTGTTAACAGTGCAATCATAATCATTACTAAACTCAAAACAAAATAAAACCACTTATCATCACATTCGAGCTAATGTATGTACACTCCCTTCTCAAGTAATTTTCAATAGTTTATAACCAATCTGATGGACTTGTGATTTATTACCATAGCCACAACAAAACAAATGAAATCACGCATCTCTGAACACAATTATCTACCCCTCTGAAGATATTTATTTAGCTTTTGCAATCAATAAAATATTCTCGCTCTCGCCTCTATCTAAAGGTTGTACTACATCCCACTATTTTTCTTCATTATGACTCTAGCTCTTTTAAATTTTTTTCGAGTAGTGTCCCGCCATCTCTTAAAACTTTCCATACAACCACGTTGCTCACCAAATATTAGAAAACCACAACCTTAGATACTTGCAAGTCGTAATTACTATACACAATTCGCTTAACCAACAATCTTATTATATAGTTGCATTCCACCACTATCCATCACATACTCTTACTACTATTATGCTCGGTTAGCCTGGCTATCACTACAAGTCAACCCTTCATCGACATGACACCTCAAACTCAGGTATACCCATCAAATACAAAGGGCTAAACCAATTTTATACATATTTACTTACTAAACTATTCAATTACTTTCACCCAAGTATACTCAATGGGACTTTCTTCATCTATAAGCTTGTCATTCCGGTATCAATCCACTCATTTATGGCTTAAGATAAATTACTAGTACTCATACTACCCTTTTTTCTTAACAAACAAGACAGGAGCACCCTACAGAAAAACACTACGACAATAAAACCTTTATCAAGAAACTCTTGGATTTGAGCTTTAAACTCTTTCAATTCTGCCAGAGCCATGCGATAAGGAGGATTGGAGATGGGGCGAGTGCCCGATTCCAAGTCAATGCAGAAATCTATATCTCTATCCAGAGCCATAACAGACAAATCAAAAGGAAACACTCATCAAAATTCAGATACTACATGAATAGACTCAATAGCGGGAGGCTCAACCTCAACATCCCAAATATGAGCCAAATACGCCAAACAATCCTGCTCCACCAGTTTCCTACACTACACGAAAGATACGACCTTATCTGACTTAGGCTTGTACCTCCTTCCCACTCTAATATTTCCCTTCCCGGTATCTCTAAAGTTACCAACTTAGCATTACCATTAAGCACAACATAATATGAGGACAACCAAGTCATGCCTAAGATTATATTAAGTCAGTCATATTCAGCATAACCAAATCAACCCAGGTCTGAAAATCCATAAACACATCAGGACAAACGCGATATACGAGGGTGACTATGACTGACTTTTCAACTGGGATAAAAAATATGGATGGGGGCATCAAGTACATCACAATTCATTTCATATCCCAAGGCAAACTGAACGGGCACATAAAAATTAGTAGAACCAGGATCAAACAACACATTAGTCATCTGGTCACAAACAAGCATGATACATGTGGCCACTGCATTAGACACATCATCCTCGGTCTTGCCTGAAAAGGTGTAAAATTGAGCTTTGTCATCTTGACGGGCAACCTTCTCGCCTGGCTGCACTACTCATCTACCTGTATTACCATTTCCCCGACCTTCACGGCCTCGCTGATGTCCTCCTCATATGCCTAGGTTCTTCACAATTTTAACACATTTTATAACTTATATTCGATTGATGAACACTGAATTAGATCGCGGGGGTTAGTTCTGGTTTGATTCGGAGTCTATAATTGTGACTAGGGGAAAACATGAGAGACAGAGCTGAGATTCTATCTCGCCTTGTCCCGCTCAGGCGGGAGAAATCCTACACTGGCGATCTTGTCGTGGTGGGAAAATCCCGCCCCAGTGGCCTTGACGGTGACAAAACCCCTACCAACCATTTCTGGGGTTCCTCACTTTTCTATATTTCCCCTAGATTTCTCGGCTATAACTAGGCATTTAAGAAAATCACTTTAGCTAGGACAATCATTGTCTACCCCCGGTCAACCCAACGAAGTACACAATTTAGAATCCCTTTACCTCATTTCAACACTATCGCACACATATTTCCAGGATACACCCAGCCTCTCACATGGTTATCAGTTGGTCGCAACGCACTTTGAGATTTCTCGCTTACGAACCACATCATAATTTATCTAGACCCTTGCACCTAATCTCATGATAACTTTCTTTTCACAACAAGTTTCACGACACTCAAACGGTTACAACTAGTACAATTTCAATATTTAGGCCAGCACATTGCACATATCAATATTCAGACATGCAATACTAGGCACATAATCATATCAAAGCATTCAAGTAATACACCCTTCACATTCATAGTTAATTTCAGACAACTAGAAGAACACATTCACCGTTCCAAGTTACAACTCGCAGACAAGTCCAATTTCTTTAATTAGTTCATTCCATAAATGACCATCAACCATGCCTTATACGGTCCCTAAGGCCATATACCAATTGGAACTTTCTCAGTTCCAATTAACTTGCTTGTGTTCCTTTAGTCGGGACTACTGCGTCTAGTTCACTTTATTGAGATACCAATTGGAATTGGGAGATACCAATTGGACTCAACTCATACCACAAGCGATAATAATAGCTAGCGAGCCCCACAAAACTGCTAATTTCAATTACAGAACTTGGTCGAACCCAATTCTTAACCGCTTCAATCTTTAACTGGTGGTAACCGGACCTTAAATCAATCTTAGAGAAAATTGATGCACCTTGCAACTGATCAAAAAGATTATCTATCCGAGGCAGTGGATACTTGTTCCGAATAACGACCCTATTCAATTGTCAGTAGTATATACACATCTTCTCTTGCTAGTGATAGTGGTACCATTTTTGTTGCACTAGCTTAGACCATAGAGTGAATGAGGAAATATACCAATTTGTATCACCTAGATACCAATTGAATTCAAGTCATAGCACGAAGGAGTAGAAAGAAGTGAGTTTTTTATCCTAAAGTCCCATAGCCTCTCGAAGAAAAGTACGGACGTCATCGTACCATTCGGCAAG